TCCTCTCACCCACAGCCATAGACATCACCTTCACCACACCCCAAACTAACACAAGCTTGCATATGGGAGGTACACAGCGACACCTGGGGCAGCGACCACTGCCCCATTAAAATCACTATAACTTCACACATCCCCACCTCACCAACCACCACTCCTCCACCCACACCCACAGAAACTAGATACAACATTAATAAAAAGCGGATTGGAAAAATTCACAATACTATGCAGCCAAAGTAAACACCTCATCCATCTACAGCCCCGATATAAAACACATTTTAACAGTAATCTTACAAACACTATCCTAAATATCACAGATAAATGCATTCCCACTTTTCGGTTTAACCCGCACAAAAAACAGTCCCGTGGTCGAGCCATGAAATTATAAATGCCAGAAAGGCTAGAAAAAGGCCCTTAATCAATCAAAAAAGGGACCGTTCCAAATTACATTTAGCTAAACAACTACGTAACAAAACTAAACAAATTATCAAGGCAGCAAAAATCACCCATTGGAGGAAATTCTGTTCTACCCTCAGGCAATCGCATCGAAAATCCAGGACCATGTGGAATAAATTTAAAAGCCATAAAGGGCATTTCTAAAAACCCATTTCACCCAACTTTCCAGACCTAACCACAAACAAAGATAAAGCAAATGCATTTGCTGCCCAATTCTCGACTACAAGCAGCTCCACCAACTACTCACCCACCTTCCAAAACACTATCAAAACCACCCCCTACACCCCACAACCTCCTCACACTGACCAACCCATAAATAAAATTATCAACATACGTGAACTCAAATCCGCACTAAAACAAACAATCAGCCTAAGCCCCAGGTCCAGATACCATTACATACACAATGCTAAATAAACTACCCCCAACATGCATAACCTCACACTTACCCCTCTTTAACCATATCTGGACCACAGGAACTATCCCCAACACTTGGAAAACAGCCAGAGTGGTACCAATCCTCAAACCAGGAAACCCAACAGCGAGCCTGAGCTCATACCGCCCCATCTCTCTTACCTCCCACCTCTGTAAAACCTTAGAGACAATTGTAAACAACAGGCTCCAAACACCTTATTTTAACAAACAACTTACTTAAGGAGGGACCAGGCGGCTTTACTCCAAATCGACAAACTTTTAGACCACATTCTACATTTAGAACAAGATATCAAAGTAGCACAAGCTCAGAAACAATACACTATGGCCATTTTTATTGATTTCAGTAAGGCATTCGACATGGTTTGGCACAACGGCCTACTACAAAACTTCAAAACATGCCATACACGGTCGAATTTTAAATTTCATTCACTCTTTCCTAAACGACAGACAAATAACAATCAAATCTCACAACACCATCTCGGACCCATACCCCTAGAAAATGGACTCTAGGGGAGCATATTATCCCTAACTTTATTCAACTTCATGATTAATGACATTTTTCCAGATAAATGGCCAGAAATCACAACTGCCAAATTTTGCAGACGATATTTCATTTTGGACCTCCTCCACCTCAGTTAAACAGGCATCGCTCAAAATTCAAAAATGCTAAACTCCATTCAAAACTGGGCCCAAAATGGGGGTTTCACATCAACGTTAAAAAAAAACCGTGGGCATATTATTCAAAACAGAGTATATGCAAAATTATACCCCAAACTCCACCTAAATAACCAAGAAACTGAATTAAAAAGAAGCCAAATTTTCTAGGAGTAACTTTCGACTGCCATCTGACATGGACACCCCATATTAATAACTTGGTCAATTCATGTCAAAGATCTAAACTTAATGAGAGAGCCATCAGCGGCACAAACTGGGGTGCCGACAAACATACCCTCATCAACATATATATAAAACTCTCATATTATCGAGATTGGACTACGCCGCCCTGATTCTCCACAACCTCACCTCCCATAATCTTCAAAAACTTAATTCCATTCAATTTAAAGCCCTCAAATTAGCTCTCGGAAGGAGGGTGGTACCTCTCTTAACACATTACTTCTACTCACAGGCACCTCTTCAATCACACACAAAGAATAAACCAAACCATTACACTCACTTACTGGGCTGGGGCCCAACACAACCCAATATTTAAACTAATCACAAACAAATATAAAAACATTAAGAAATCTACACTTAAAAAGTTCAAATCAAACCCATTTAAAGCATCATGCCTTACTCACTTATACAGTCTGCTACATGCACAACAGCTAAACACCATTCAACACACACCTCCCATTACAAGCTACATTCACGACAAACCCCACCCACCACAGACATGTCCCTTGACACAATCCTCAAACAACTACCCAAAGACACCCATCAAACCAACATAACTAATATCACAAAAAACTACATAAATACAAACTACCCCACCCACACTCACATATATACAGATGCATCAATCAACACAAACAAAACCACAGGCCTATAGGCATACATGTTCAACAAACCCCTCCCATCACAACTAATTTCCACTATACCAACCACACCACAATAAACACTGCTGAACTCACTGCCATCCTCACTGCACTTCACCTAATACCCACCCTCCCCCAAACAAACTTCCTCATCTTAACTGATTCACTCAATTCTATCAAACAACTTCACAACATGCACTCTAAATCTCGTCCAGACCTCATACACAATATAGTAATCCAAACAGACTCGCTCGCACGCTCAAACAAAAATATCACATTCACTTGGATACCCAGCCACTCAAACATCACAGGAAACGACACCGCAGACACCGCAGCCAAACTCGCCACATCCATATATATCACCAAATCTCAATTTCCACACATCCAAATCAGAAATAAAAAAACTCATCAAAACTAACATATCAAATTCAAGCTTCCAACACAACATCAACACAAACAAATCAACCTGGGTCACCTCCATTATTAAATCTCCAATTAAAAAAATCCCCACATACTCTGTACGTGCAGAACACTAAGTTTAGCCTCTCAATTTAGTTTATTTAATTTAAAGTAAAAGTTAAATTTAATATTTTACAATTGTCAACACATCTGTACAAGTGCTTGTGGTGTAAAGGATTGTTCACTGGAACCGCTTACGCTAATATTCATGAACACACAGGTTGCAAGTTCAAAGCCAGGTTGCTGCCTAAACTTTTGCAAATTTAAAACATAATTCACATCCTGGCAATCTGATCACATGATCAGAAGCACATGGGCTCAGTCAGACAGAAGGCCTCCATGTTGACAGCAGCACACATTGAGTTATGGCAGAACACAGATGTGAGTTATTTCTTGAATTTATGTTGCTTCTATGTCCAAAACGAGTTAAGAGAAAATACATTTGATTCAATTAATGCTTATTTAGAAAATATGGATTTTGAATATTTGTACACTTTATTAGGTTCAGGTTTGGATTGTATACTAAACACGTATTTTGTTTCTCCTTTATAGTTTCTCTGAACCTCTCGTCAACTGTTTGTATACAACGATACAACGTATGTACTTAATGCAAAGCTACAACAACGATAGACATAACGAAAACGGAAATAAACTTTGGTGAGAGTGTATATCAGACTAATGTGTTTCTTGCCACAACATACTCAAATATCAAAAACATAGACACAGCAATAACCAGGCTAATCACAGGCATTACAAACTTAAATTACACACTCTATAAACAAAACAGACACCCGGATGGACTATGCACACATTGCAACTCCCATGAAGACATAAACCACATATTCACACATTGCCAGCTGCAACAAACAAACATTAAGCAATTACACAACAACATTCCCACGAAATACCACAATAACATACACCTCCTTCTCAACCCCCACAATCCGCCCAATATCTTCCATGCCATAGCCACTTTCCTACAAAACTCTAACCTACTCCAAAAAATTTAGAACCTCCCAAACAAACCCTCTCATTACCACTCACTTCTAGCTTACATATTTAGATCAGGCGTCAAAATTCCACTTACCCATACTATCATTCTATCACCAGCACATGCCTACACATTTAGACCTGGGAGTCAATTTCATTCATCTATAGTGCTCTAAATCCGCTGCCAGGTCCGCGCCCATCCCCTAGCCAATCACACTCCACTAAAACGTAAACAAAGCAGCCCAACCCCTCTAACGCAAGGTCAATGCCATCCACCCAAGCCAGCTTACCTGCAATCTTCACCGACAGCCACGGCCCCTTACCCACAGCCTTCTTCGCTCCCACCTCACCCCCCGTCCCCACCCCCAACCAACTTAACCCATTTTTCTTTCCTTATTAAATCCCCTTATACTAATTATGCAGCTTACCTGCATTCCTATACAGGCCCCACTATGCTATACTTCCTTATTATCCCCCCTCCCACCATAGTAATGATGAAAATGTTGGGCCTATTTAACAATAACTCTATTTCCTATCACTAATAAACTCAAGTGTATTTCTTTCCCTTTCCCTTCATAACATCGGCTTTTTATTTATTTTTTCTCATGTTTTCAAAGTTTTTCACTGCAAAATTCCACTTAGGTTAATGCCCCAGCATTTATATTTTTTTGGGTACGGTGGTTTACTCCTTATTTTAAACCTATTTATTATTATCTTACCTCCCACCTACCCCGTCGGCGACATTGGCTACAGCTAAAAGCCGACGTTAAACCCTAAATCATCATCATCATCATCAGTAGCAGCCTATTTTCAAATCATCTGAACTGAAAATGTCTGCATTACTGGTTGGCGAATCGTTGCTGAAGTATGTTGGACGTTATACGCCGAAAGAAGGGATCGTGACAAGGTGTCTGTCCGGAGCCAAGGTGGCTGACATTCCCGATCTCTTTTGGGACATGGAGAACTTTAAGGTAGGAAACAGTTGAAGAATGTCGGATTGTGCACAGAATGAAGATTATTTCACGCGCGTAGTCGTAATATACCCATCTTTGTGGATACCGGATGCTAAAAAGCGTATCTTATGTTTTGATCGCCCAACTCGTGTCATTTCTGAAGTGAGTTTTAATTCAACATTGTTTCCAGTTCATTATCGTCCACATTGGGATCAATGACCTGGCGTACATGCCTAGGACGCCTGGGCAGGTGTTGGACAACTTCGCGAAACTGGTTGACATTATAAGGAAACAGAACCCACGGTATGTCACCTAGTTTTATGCACCCGTTTAAAAACTGTCAAGCTCAATCGAACATTTGAATACATGTTACGTTTTTATGGATAACAACTTCTTTTCATGTGACATTTACTTATACGAGCGGTTGCAAAGTGAGGTCAAACGTCCAAGGCAGTATCCGACCACAGATTATTTTTTAGATAAATTCCATTTTTCAGATTTCAGCGGGTGGGAAAACGATCTGGTGGATGCACATATTAATGTTTTGTATGCTATGTTACACAGAGCTGTGGTACTCCTTTCCGGTGTCACCCCAAGATACCGGAATAGACGGCGACAAGGCCGTGGAAATCAGGATTCCCTCAACGAGAAAGTGAAACACCTTTGCGGTGAGAATGGATTGACCTATGTCGGCCACCCTAACTTCATGTCTTCCGGGAGAGTAAGGCAGGAGTTCATTGCCTGCGATGGGCTTCACCTGAGACCAGCAGGACAGAAGCAACTGGCTTCAGATATTATCTGTGCTCTTTGGGTGGTATGTTATTCAGATAGGGATTATTGTTTGCATTCATCAAATACTTAGTATATTAATGTGCCATAAGGCCAAGTCTCCGGTTTGATGCAGAACTTTCATTTACCGTGTACTTACTTTCAGTACAGATGTGTATTTAAATTTCTGCTCTGTTTTCGGACAAATGGTAACATCCATAAGGCATCAATGATAATACTGTGTTGTGTTGTTTCGGCTGTCACCCGTTTGCTGTATTTCACAGGTTTGTTCTTCTACTGACATGAACATCTATAGGTAAATTCAAAGTCAAACCTTATATCACCCATTCTCTAACTTATATATCTGTTTAATAAGCATAGCAAGCTAAACATGAATTATTCTGTCCAAGATGACAATGCCAGTTACAACCGATTGCTCCTTTTGTCCAGTGTACGCAACCGTTGAATAATCCCACTAGACTACCGTTGATAACTCCCACTACACCAACGACTTCTACCACGTCGAGAGTGACTTACGCACAAGCCTGAGAAGAAAAATCTGTGGGCGTCACAGCTTCACTGGATATCACTTCTGAGGTACATATAGGAAAATCGTATATAACATACAACTTAGTATCATTAATTCGTTGTTGTTTTTGTAACCATGTAAACATTACTATCTACTGCAGGTCGACTTTCCACCCCTTGTACATGCAGCAGTGCGTCCCCGGAATTAGATGGCGGACAAGGTGAGATATGCAATACCAACAATTCTCATAAACATCTGATTTTCCTGAACAATAATATTGTTATTTCCAAAAACTGTCTTCTTTAAAACCACGTCTTCTTCTTTCCAGTCCCAACTGACAGCTGCTTCCCGGCCCACCACCAGTAAGCAGCCAGTGAAGGTACGATACTTGCAACACATAAGGTATCATGCATTCTTTATTTTAACGAATTATGAAGTCCAGTAAATATTAGCGTTATATTGTATAGAACAAACTTTATGGATAACAACTTCTTTTTATTCGTGAGTGCGACGTTTCAATTCAATGCTTGACAACGGTACAAGTATCTGTATCGAAACGTCGCACTCACGAATAAAAAGAAGTTGTTATCAATAAAGCTTGTTCTATATTGTACTCCTCAACTTCTAAAATGCCACTCAAAGAAATATAGCGTGTATGTGTATGTGACATTACTTATGTATGGATATTTTTCAGGATTCCTCGATGCTTTACGGCGGCAGTGATGTGCCTATCTATCTTATAAAGGATACAGAACCCAAAGCCCATGAAGTTCTTTCTATATTTGGTGAGACACGTTCTGCAGCACCATAATAAAATGTCCTACGTATACCACACTCTACCAGACACTAATCAATGTTCAAAGCATCAAAACTCCAATTTGTCCTCAGATGTATGAAATGTTCATTAATACTTTTCAGAACATCCAGAACACGAGCGAATAACATTCACTCCACCATGCAGACCAAAGGGTACGGAAGTGTACCTGATCTCGACCGGTTGCGACCCCAACAAAAAGTGTAAGTATTCAGCTCATTATTCAAGTCTGCAACTGTTTCAAGTCACTACAGAGCACTGATACAAGATCCTATTTCTTTTCAGTTGACGTCCGAGCAGATCAATATACAGTCAACTCTCGTTAATCCGACACTTGTGGTTGCAGAGAAATATGTCGGATTAGCGAAAATGTCGGATTAATGAAAATGTCGGATTTATGTATTTGTGTGAAAATATCAATGTTTACTAAATGTCATGATCGTCATACTGTTGCATGCATATCAGAAATGGTAGATCTAGTTATCTTCATCGTATGTAAAAATATTCACAGAAATAAAAAATACTAACAATACATACTTGTTTTCATTTATTAACATTCATAGATGGCATAACATACATATAAAATCATATAAGCGAACAGTTTCATATCTATTTCATGACCACATTGGCACAAAACTCACGTTTGTTTTTACCGCATATCAGCTGCCATTATGACCCGGATGTTGAATATGTTACAGTTTCCATACAACTAATTCCATAATAACATGTGGACGTCTAATGTACAATCAGGTGTTTATCATAACATATATAATTTATAACTTGAAAAAGTCTTTGATGGTCATTAACATCAAACACGTCTAAGTGGTGTGTCAGAAATGTTTGCAAAGTGTTCAACGATGTTTTGGCCTCAGATAGCTTGAAGCATCGGAATCAGTCGTAGAGACGCTCAACCACTAAGGTGGGTGGTAGGTGGAAAATTCAAGGCTCAAAAACGATAAAAGCTGGCAAGCAAATACTCAAGAAATATTACTTTACAGTAGATTCTGAAGAAGTCCCACCACCGTTCAGCAAACAGGAATTCCGCCATCCAGATATCCCCGATTTAGTTTTAGTTTATTACAAAGGAGACCATTCAGCATACAAGCCCAAGCCCCATGGTAACAGAGCACAAGGAAATCAGGAACACCGTAGAACTGCTGCGTCTGTCCTAGCAAATGCCAGGGAATCCAACAAAGGCCCTTCAGCAACCACAGGCACACTGTAGCGTAAGCTGTAGCGCAAACAGGGTTGGGCAACAAATAGAAAATGACCAGTCTTCGTATATGCGAGCCAAGCGAACAAAGGTTGGCAACGTACTTCCCTCGCTTCTGTACGAAAAATATCTTTCATGTCAAAATGTTTCTATTGTTAATTCATTGTAATTTTCATTTCTTTGAATGATGTCATTTTTTTCCAGGGCTTCTTGAGTCAATAAAATAAAAGAGCACTGGTCAGTAACAAAGTCTAGCCTTGTCTGGACTCAAAGTTGAATTAGTTTCCAAGGAAACAAAAGCAATAAAGAACCACAGAAAATCAAAAATCCCCAAATAGCAAAAGGCTCTTCTTCGCTGCTTGACTGATACATTTGCAAAGTTTCATAAATATATATTGAAAGGTTTTTGATTTACTATCCAGAAACAAAGCCTATCCTCATCTCCAGTCTATGTCCATCCTGTTGGTATGGAAACAGAAAATATCCAATTGCCATAAATTCATACATAGCAAAAGGCATACCTTTACTAGTAGCTTGATACATGTACAGAGTTTCATGAATAAATATTCAATGGTTTTCGAGTTGATGATCTGGAAACCTGACAGACAGACGGTTGGTCAGACGGACCTCATTTAAATATCCTCTGCAACAATATTGTTGTTGATAATAATATGGTCTCAACCGTGACATACTCAACGACGTTGTCTTTTACTGGTAGATGGTCCATCTGTTAAAGCAACTACTTTTGATCTTAATGCTTGTTTCTTTTTGCGAGGTAGTGCTGCCTTAAATGATTTGACCTTATCCACAAGAGATATTTTCAGGTAATGGTCACACACATCAAAATACAAATCAGTGAGTAAAGAGTACAGACCTTCTAAGGAATCATCTTCATTCCCTTCACTTGATTCAGCTGATATGAAGAGTTCTAACCACATTTCTAGCAATTCAGAATGGGCCATGATTGCCACCTGTAATGTGCCATGAATGTTTCCATGTTGCAAATGTAGATGATGGAAACTTGTTTGACTCTGAATGAAAGCATGCAACTGCAGGAAAACACTGAATGTTTGATCTGAGATGTGCATCAGACCTCTGGAGGAAAACTGCTTAAAGTCTATCTCTGACAAACTTGCCTTGTCCTCAGTTTGGCTACTAATTTCAGTAACCCGTATATTTTGAAGCAGTCTTTGCTTTGCAGTCACCTGATGCTATTATTTGAAGCCCTCCAAAAGGTCTCTTGTCATTTCTGATTGCAGAACACACATTTTCTATTACCTCAAACATCTTGCGACTCATCATGCCAAGTTCATCAATAGTGAGGACCTCTGTTGTTAAGATGTTCTGCCTTGCATCCTGAAAGACATCATTCTGTAGAAGGAGATCCTCAAGTTCAGTGGCTGAATATCTGCCATCCATATACCCACACCATTGGTGTTTAGTGTCTCCCATCCCCCCCCCCCCCTTTCTCCCTATTGCAGGCTGGCAATCCCTGTCAAAGCTGTTACAGCAACTTTTTTGGGCTCGAGGGCTTGCACCATTTTCCTGAAACAGAAAAATATTTCATAAGAACATGGACTTTGCCAACAGATTGCACTTTCCTTATTATAAGATTGTCTTGATCTACAGCTGGAACGCTTTCCTTAGGTATTGTTACAATAGTCTATATAGTTAAAAAGGGGTGGAAACTTATTATCACTCGGTGAGAACTGGTCTTTCACATAAAAGACAACAGTCTCCCCTACCGCAAAGAATCTGTCACATTGACAACTACACATAAAATAGGGTCATGGGCTCTGTAGCTCATCACATTTTGCATTAACCACCAAGTGGGATAAGAAAAAAAGATAATCTGTCTTTAGAATGTTATAAGACAGAAGTACTTTTTTGAGTTAATTAATTTGATACATATATTGTGACCTTAATTGTGAAAGTAGAAAAACAAAATTATATTAGCACATTTTAAAATGATATTGGATTAAATAAACTCCAAGAAATATGCCAGTAATAGTAATATTATGGAACAGGAATGAAACTTGTGATGAGAGTTTACTGTCCACTTTTTATGTTACTGATACTTCTACAACATGTGTACTATCATTTCAGGTTGGTTACATCTATTGAGTGCAGCACAATTGATTCCCAGTTCCTGACAAGTAATGAAATCTATGACAAATATTCAGAGGAACGAAAAGCAGCGGCACATTCAATCTGTAGTAAACAGTCATTTTTTCAAATTGCTTCCAGTGTTATTCCCCAATATGGTGATTAAGAAACGGAAACAAAATAAGAAACAATTCCAAACTTATCAGGCCAGTGTCAAAATGAATGATGAAAGTCACAAACTCACACTGCCAGAGAGCTGTTCTATTTCATTAGCAGATACTAATATCTTCATCAAGTACCCTTTGGAAACAGTGATAGATGGAAACATTCAAAATGTTGAACTGAAATTTGGATGTACCTTTGAAGTAAAAATCAGAGGTCATGTTATTGATCATGAGCAATATGGATTTGAAAAAGCATCTCCTCGCGAGAATACACCATTCATGCTGTACAAAAACTCAAACTATGCAAAGGTATCACTAATGAACAAGAATGTGACTTGCTAAAGTCCAGCCGTGTGGTTAATGAACAGTGGTCCAAACTTCACGATGAGAATGCAATAGAGTATCACACACGTGCAAACTCCTGTGTTATTGTTTTCAACTGGAATGCAGTAGATGGACAGTGTTTCAAATGCATAAACAATTTATCCAAAAAATCATGCAGCAAACCTAAAACTTCCCCTGAACCCAACATTAAATCTGTTCAGAAAACTAGCAATATAATTTCAAGTCATGCATCTTCACAAAAGCAAGGAGATACCAAGCATTCACTGTCAGAGCTCAGGGACAATAATAATCACCAAAAATCTCACTGCACAACTACAGCACAGACCGAAGACAGTCACCCTTCTTCGATGACACATCAACAATTCTCAGAAAACAAACTCAACCCATCTCTTGAACTTGCACAAGAGGACCATCAAGATATGCTTCAAATATTGGAGAGTCTTCTGTCTGCTGCACCTGAGAACTTGAGAGTTCTCATGAATTCACAGCTACGAAATTGCAAAGAAGGACTTGACAAGCATCAAAGGAGATGGGATCCCAGAGTCATTACAATATGCCTGTATTTGCGTTGTATTGTCTGTATTTGCGTTGTATTGTCTGTATTTGCGTTGTATTGTCGTTCACCACAGGCTTATAAAGATCTGATAAACAGTGCATTTCTTGTCCTGCCTCCTGAAAGATTACTAAGGTATTACAAGAACTCAAACAAACAACTGGATTTGTTGAAGAAAATCTATCCTGGATGTCAAAGGAAGCTGAACGACATGTGACAGGATTGGGAAGGCATGGTGGGTTACTCCTAGATGAGATACAAATACAGGATGTCTTACAGGTAATTATCTAATCAACCGATCACATTCATCCATAAAATGCATCTACATTATCACAATAAGAACTAGTGTTTCCCCCAGGCATATTTGGCAGGGCGCAGCGCCTTGCCCTTTTTATTCAGCGCTCTGCCCTTTTCATTTAGCTCTCTGCCCTTTTGAATCACCGCATTATCTGCCCATTGAAAAATCCAATATTTTCCGGATTTTAAAAAAAGCAGGAGTTAGCTCCCTTCCCGGATGTTTTTGTTGTAAAACTGCCTATTTAAGTCATGGCGATTTCGGCTTTGTTCATTTTCATTCTGATTCATAATGCCAACTGTAGTGTTTGCCAGGGCAGGGTTCCTCACATGCACAGATAAGAGACACGTCTTGACAGTCCCATACTTTATTCCCGAATCCCCCTACAGGCCATGCCGCTTCCGGTCACCCAGATCATACTAGCGACACAACTAATTATCACCAGTACACTACATTCCCTCTTTTCCTTAAGATTAAAATAATTTACTTATCCTGTATATTAAACGAGACTGACAATCACTTCTTCTTTTTTCTACATATATGACTATAAAAATATATATAAAACATCACAGTAAATACTCCTCATGTTGCTTCACCTTTCCACATCTTCTGGAGAATCACAGAAAATAATAGTCAGTTCAAATACAATTCACTCTCCTTTTTT